TCAAAAGAGATACAAAGCAACCTGATGTGTGCGTTCCTCACAGGACTCTGAAAAGTTGCGAGTTACTCCGTGACAAGCGCTAGACTTTTTTGTACTTCGAAATTCTGGCGGGTCCACGAGGGACTTAGCATTGCATTTACTTTGTTTTTTGTTCAAGTGTTCTATTGTTTGATATTTTGTTCTTGTTCTTGTTTACTAGTTTTTCGGTAAATGTGTTCGAATGTTTTCCAAATATTAGAGCTCATTGACTCCCCGATCGACCCACAAATGTCCTGTTTTTGTGCTGTCATTGTGGACGGCATGTATAGCGACGAGGAGCTTTTTCTTACTCAAAATAGTTTTCCGGAAGAAATATTGCAACACAATTTTAGTATTGATTCAATTTAGACGGCCTAGTAGCTAGCGATGAGCCTGCCCCACGAAATTCGTGTGCGGAAGAATTAAAGCAAGTAGTGACTGAGGAAAGCATCAAGGATGGACGGAAAGACCGGAAACTTAATTGAAAAGAAACATGTTTTTTCTCTTTATATTGTTTGTAGTGAAGTACATTTGCAGATGACATTATTGTCGGAAATTTAGGCCGCAATTTGTCAAGGGGAAGAATTTGATGTTCTCAGGAATAGCAAGGTTCAATTGAGTAATTGGAAAGTAAATAATTAATGAGGGATTAATTTTTTAGAAATTCTAATAAATCCTTCGCTTCAGGAATTTATTTGTATAAATCCCTAAAACGAGGGATTTGTACAGATAAATCCCTCATTTACAATCAAATTCAATTCATCAGCGCTGCTCTTCCCTGCTACATTATCAAGCCCTCCCCGGACTTTCACTTGGTTAATATTCAACGGGGTTGTAAGTTAAATAAAGGTTGTTGTTGAATAACAAAAGAAAAGATGTGAATCATAAAATAACAATATATATGTCATTAATTTTAACAATTATTGTTTACATCAGTTATACACGTGTATATATAGATAACTTGTCTGACCGAAAACACAAAACCACACGTTCCAGCGTTGTTGTCATTTTTTGCAATCAGCATTTCAGAATTTATTTCCTCTCCTAAATAGAGTTTTATTCAATATTGACAATGTACTTCCGTTATCTTTTCATAATCCGTTTTATATTTTATCATAGTAGTTCACGTATTTCTAAAGTTAATTTCAAATTCTTACACAAGCATTGGCAACCGAAGAGGTCATGAAGTATGTCGAAAAATATCTCGCAAAATAAAAACTGTTTTGTTTTATAACATGATTTTTATTCGTCTATTCATTTTCTTTTTATTTCTTTGCCAAAGTACGATAAAAATTTACAAGGAAGCGTAATGAGCTAAGTTAAATAAAATTTATGGAAAGGAAACCTAAATGAAACCATGAGGCTTTCTCCAAACGATTGCAGAAAAATAGGAAAAAAAGGCACCATTAGTGATTTAAGGTTTTACGGAAATATTGAGGTCACGCAACAGAAAACATTCGGACATTATTCTCCCTAGGGTCGTGTTGCATTATTAACATTTTAATGGCTCTTTTTCTCCCTTAACACACAAGCTTTTGCCAGCCACGAATTGATATCACACAGACCATTATAGGAGGAAATTCAGCTAATCATCGACAGCATTTGGCTCTCTTTCCACCGTAACATGACAAAGATGGCTCAGCGTCTTAAGAAGAGATGTATTGCTCTTGTTGTGTGCACCCTGCTAACACTTCCAGGTAGTAAGTTGATACAGACTCAGGATTATAACTATTTGTAGGAAGGTAGGCGGAACTAAAGATATGTGAGGTATAAAATTTTTCATGCGATTAAAATGTTGAATCTGTATCAGCAGGATTTTCCAATACAACAACAACGCCATCCTCACAATCTGCAAGTAACATGACATCAGTAGTGCATATGATTTCACACCCAACAGCAAGTGACGTGTCATCAACGATGCAAATGATACTATCTCCATCTGCAAGCAACATGTCAATAATAACACATATGATGCCATCACAATCTGGAAGTGATATGTCGTCAATTGTGCATATGATGCTTTCCCAAAGAGCGAGTGACGCGTCAACAACGATGCAAATGATGCCATCACAAACTGCAAGTGACAGGACATCAGTGGTGCATACGATACCATCCCCGTCTGCAAGTGACAATTCATCAATGATGCATATGGTGCCATCCTCATCTGCAAGTGACATGTCATCAACGGTGCATATAATGCCATCCCCACCTGCAAGTGACAAGACATCAATGATACATATGGTGCCATCCTCATCTGTAAGTGACATGTCATCAATGGTGCATATAATGCCATCCCCACCTGCAAGTGACAAGACATCAATGGTGCATACGATGCCATCCCCATCTGCATGTGACATGACAACGATAGTGTATATAACGTCATGCCCAACAGGAAGTCACGTGTCATCAACGATGCAAATGATGCCATCACAATCTGCAAGTAACATGTCATCAATGGTGCATATGATGTCATCACAATCTGCAAGTAACATGACATCAGTAGTGCAAATGATTTCATACCCAACAGCAAGTGACGTGTCATCAACGATGCAAATGATGCCATCTTTATCTGCAAGCGACGTGTCATCAATGACACTTATGATGCCATCACAATCTGGAAGTCATATGTCGTCAATTGTGCATATGATGCCATCCCAAAGAACGAGTGACGTGTCAACAACGATGCAAATGACGCCATCACAATCTACAAGTGACAGGACATCAGTGGTGCATACGATGCCATCCCCATCTGCAAGTGACAATTCGTCAATGATGCATATGATACCATCCTCATCTGCAAGTGACATGTCATCAATGGTGCATATAGTATCATCCCTATCTGCAAGTGACAAAACATCAGTGGTGCATACGATGTCATCCCCATCTTCAAGTGACGATTCATCAATGATGCATATGATTCCATCGTCATCTGTAAGTGACATGTCATCAATGGTGCATATAATGCCATCCCCATCTGCAAGTGACAAGACATCAGTGGTGCATACGATGCCATCCCCATCTGCAAGTGACAATTCATCAATGATGCATATGGTGCCATCCTCATCTGCAAGTGACATGTCATCAACGGTGCATATAATGCCATCCCCACCTGCAAGTGACAAGACATCAGTGGTGCATACGATTCCATCCCTATTTGCAAGTGACAATTCCTCAATGGTGCACATGATACTATCCCTATCCTCAAGTGACAATTCATCAATGATGCATATGATGTCATCCCCATCTGCAAGTGACATGTCATCAGTGGTGCATATGATGACATCCCCATCTGCATGTGACATGACAACAACAGTGTATATAATGTCATGCCCAACAGGAAGTGACTTGTCATCAATGATGCAAATGATGCCATCACAATCTGCAAGTCATATGTCATCAATGGTGCATATGATATCATCCCCATCTACAAGTGACAATTCATCAATGATGCATATGATGTCATCCCCATCTGCGAGTGACATGTCATCAGTGGTGCATATGATGTCATCCCCATCTACAAGTGACACTTCATCAATGATGCATATGATGTCATCCCCATCTGCGAGTGACATGTCATCAGTGGTGCATATGATACCATCCCCATCTACAAGTGACAATTCATCAATGATGCATATGATGTCATCCCCATCTGCGAGTGACATGTCATCAGTGGTGCATATGATGTCATCCCCATCTACAAGTGACATGTCATCAATGATGCAAATGATGCCATCACCAACAACAGTAGCGCCAAAACCTTCGTGTTTACCAGGATTCACTGGAAGTTATTGCTCCGAAAGTAAGTGATGAAATGCTTTTAGATTTTGTTTTCCATACGATACCAGCACTTGTAAACAACGCTAAATGTTGTTGTTGTTTCTTTTTTGCTGACAGATATTAATGACTGTGAAAACAAAAGCTGTTCAGGAAATGGAAACTGCATTGACAAAATAAATGGCTTTGTATGTGAATGTAAAAATAATTACTTTGGAAGAAACTGTGAGAAACGTAAGTCTCATTAGATGTTTATAACGAAACTTTTAACTTACAAACCATTTCTAGTTCGTATAGTGTGATCGTCCGGGTGAGTGTAGTTCTGAAAAGAACTGTTTTTGGTGACTGATGTTTCGACAACCTGTGCAGAAGTCATCTTCAGGGTCAAATGGAGAGTAGTTGTCAGTCGATGATGTTATAAAGTCTGGTCTGTTGAACGTGATTGGTCTGTTTAGCCGAGATGTGATTGGCTGGAAGACTCGTGTAGAGTTTGTTAACAGTCATTGGTCGGTTTCGATCCGTCTGTTGTTGGTCGGTCTGTTTGTCGGTTTGTTCACGTCGTTAATGAGTCGTTGGTAAGGTGCCGGTAGTTGTTGACATCTGTTGAGAGGCGTCTGTTCTAAGTTGGTAAACCAGCTTTCCAAAGTCAGTCGTTGAAAATAGTTTGTACTGTAGGTTAAGCATTTAGCAGAGTCCCAGTCGATTCTGTGATTAGTTTGTCGATGATGTTCAGAAATGTGATTGTTTACAGCGCCATTTCTAGTTGCTCGTTTGTGTTCAGTTAGTCGCGTGTTAAGGTTTCTACCAGTCTCACCAATGTAGGAGGCCTGGCAGTCGGAGCATTCGATCTTATAAATCGCTCCCTGTCTGTTGTTGGGTTGGTCTTTGTCTTTAACGTTGGTCAGTAAATGTCGTAAAGTAGTAATAGGCTTGTGAGCTACGCGAATGTTGTAAGGTTGTAGGATCCACGCGATAGCCTCAGAAGTGCCTTTGATGTAGGGTATAGTAGCTGTAGTCGTGACAGACGTGGAGTCCCTGTTAGTTTCTGTAATGTCGGTCTACTTTTGCGAAAAAGCAAAAAAATATCTGATTGAATTTGAGTTAGGCAAATCAATTTTCTCTGTATGTGTCACTTGTTTTATTAATTCTTTTATTTAATTTAGCTCACATTTCTCTTATTTTGAACTGTTTAAATAGTGTAGCCGCATTGAAGGATATCATTTGATGAAATCCTTGCCTTGATGAACACAATGGTCAATAAGCGACATTACGTTTACTTCTTTGAAAGTTAGCGAAAGCTTAGCTATTATGGGCACTGATTTGATTTGAAACGTGAAAATTTATTTAGTTATACCAGTGAAGACAATATATGTCTAATACATATACGTAAACATTCCATCTTAATCCCCACTGAATTATTCGCGTCTTTACCGTTAGAAATTAGTGCCTGTAATCCAAACCCATGCGAAAACGATGGAACTTGCACAGAAGATGGTGAAGATGAAACGTTCAACTGTACATGTACTTCAGCGTTTGAAGGGAAAACCTGCCAATCAGGTATGGGCCTGTATGATACTTCACGTTCCAGTAATATATCGTTCCAGCGAAGTACCGCTAAGTAGGAAGTAATACATGTGTGCGCATAGTGGTTAGAAAAAGCGGGTTCTGACGTTTTCTCTAAATTAATCTTGATTTCAAAGGCAAATCACGAATTTAACCTGGAACTCAAGGTTGATTTGTGTAACTCCCCTACACGAATTCTGCCTCTGTTGGAGTGGTTGCAGAAAAGTTGATAAGTTTTTCATCACTGAACCAGAAAGAAGAAGCATTGACGTTTGAATCGTTGTCAATCTCTTTCACCCAATGACAGCTGATAATTTTCCATCTCCCAGGAGATGTTGGGTATGTTTTCGGATCAAAGTCCATATTTTTAAACATACCTTACTCCTCCTTCAAAATCAATATGATAAATCCAAAAATCTTCTCTTTTTTTTTGTCTCTCTGTTTTTGCTCCACCAATCGTTAAATACCCTGACTCTCTTGACAGAGAAATCCACCAGATCCTATTTCCAATCAAAGGATATTTCAATTGGTTATCCGCTCGTTTCAAGGATCATCTGTTTTGATTCAAGATAGCAAAACAGAGACGATGCGGAAAAGAAGAGGAAAATTTGAAAGGGAGATCAAATACTCTGTCTTTAGAGAGAGAGAAAAAGTCTTTCATTGTTTTTCTAAGTGGATGTTCTAGGTCTTCGTGAAATTTTCTGTTTTGTGTTGCATGGTTGTACAATCCGAATTGATCGAAAGCAGTGGCACAAAATTTATTTTGATAAGTACTTCACTGTATGAGTTTTTGTCGGTATAATACCAGCATGATTGCTTTTTCTTAGATGAATGTCTCAATGAGAAATTTCGCTTTGCATATTTTGACAAAAAAGAGAATAAATCGATTGTTTCTGTTTTCATCATCATACTTCTTGTTTGCTGCGTCTTCATTGTCAGTTGGATTGGCAAGATTGACGATCTTTTTATTGTTCTTATCTTTATCCGTTTCTTGAATTGATTCATCAGGATTGCTTGGGTATATTGAGAAACTCATTTTGATAGTTTTTTTCAAATCAACGAATTCCTTCAGAAGACAACGCAGTTCCAGAGGAACGATCTGAATCTCTTCTCCGACGAAACCACGCTTTGGTTTTTTTTTCAGATAGTAGAGAACAGGCTCATTCTTAGTCACAATTGATCTCTCGATATTGCAGACCTTTAGAGACCTTTTATCGTTTCAATATGTTGATACATTATTGTTGATCTTTTTTATACAGAGACGCCTACCCAAACATTTGCCTGTACAATGAAACTGGATCAAGATTATAAAGAGGAGTACGATGACATCAACTCACAAGAATCTCGTGCCTTCATTAGAGATTTGGACTCGAAATTAGAATCATTTTTCAAAAAGAAATTTCCAGATTTAATAAAAATTATTTACAAACGTTTTTTCAAAGGAAGTGTTGGCGTTGACTATGAATTGCTCTTTCCAACAACCTCAACTGTGACCGATGGCAACATCGTGCAAGCTCTTAGAGAAGGTAATGGCACAAACGATCTGAGATTTTTGAGGCTGACAGGAGATATAACCGTAACGAAGCAGGTTGTTCAGACGACAGCAGCACCGATGACAGCAGCACCAACTGCAACCAAAGGTAACTTACAGCGTCTTTTTATTTTTTATTCTGCTTTTATGCTGTTACCCTTCAACGAAGTTCAGGGTAATTTGACACGCATTAAGGTATCCACTACCTTATCCGTTTAACTACACTAACTCGAAATGAAGATTATCACATTTCTGGCTAGAACCTATCTTTAGGACATGTATACTTCTAAGGAACATTTCCATCCAAGGAATATATTTCCACTCAAATCGCCTTCCAAACTATTTTGTGTTTTCCAAAATAGCATTTTCCGTGAAAAATGGACCTTTTAGTCATATTTTTCATGTCGATTCCACAAAGTATCGTACTATTTTCCAGACACTGTGAAATGTTGGCTATTTAGGCAAAAAACACGGAAATCTCTCCTTTGTAATAAAAGCAAAATGCTTCAGTTTTCACGGATTAGGAAAATGTGTTGCTTCAAAAGAGCAACATTTTGTATGACTCCACGGAAAGTTAAACGTAGGTGCATTTTACTCATGCAAATATTCAATTTTTAACTGCGTTAGTTGTTAAATCTGGTCAAAGTGCATGTAATGCTCTGCTCGTTTAAATGGAACGATAAAGCCTTTGATTTTAACCTTTAATATGTTTAAGCGGTTTTTCTTTTCAATTTTATTTGACATGATATTACGAACTGTAATGCTGTAGAAATTCTCCGTGATATGGCGTCCAATTCTGTAGAAATTCTCCATAGTTTGACGTCCAATGCTGCAGAAATTCTCCATGGTATGGCGTCTAATGCTGCAGAAATTCTCCATGGCATGGCGTATAATGCTGCAGAAATTCTGCAAGGTTTGACAGCCTAAGCGTACAAAAATTCTGCACGCCTTGACGTCCAGTGCTGCAGAAATTCTGCAAGGTTTGACAGCCTAAGCGTACAAAAATTCTGCACGCCTTGACGTCCAGTGCTGCAGAAATTCTGCAAGGTTTGACAGCCTAAGCGTACAAAAATTCTGCACGCCTTGACGTCCAATGCTGCAGAAATTCTTGGCATAAAGAGCTCATCTGTTGCAGAATAGGATGATCCGTTTATTTTTTTAAACAAATTTAAAATTAGACTACCTTGGAATAAGGACATTTATAGCCGAATTTACATCACAATCGCCGAGTGACAATATCGTCAATAATTCGTATGAGATAAATGTTTTTCCACGAAGTTACCCGTTCAGTAATTTTCATTTCAACTGACTATACAAGATTTAAGAGTTTTGACTCCTCTTCCTTCCGTTCACAAGATGATGCAGTACTGTTGATCCAATAGCATCCAAGAAAATTACTCTTTCACTACTCACACGTAGATGTCTAGGTGTCATTTGCCTTGAAACAGAACAGTGTACAGTTACAGAGGTTTGTAAGGCCTCCTTCTGTATGTATAGATCTGAAAAATCAAAAGAAAGAGAAGTTACATCACATGAAAATTTTCAAAACAGGATGTATGAATTCATCAACACTATCTTGACTATGATTTGAACAGGTCTTGGTATAGCAAGGCTAACTTGGCTTTTGCGCAGATAATGTTTTACTGAAGTTTAGCTTTACTGAACCTTTCGTATAACCGTGGGTTTACTGAAGCAAATTAAAACGTACTCCTTTAGTGAAATCGTTGGAACTAATTCGAGATGAGAGAGGACCGGTAAGATATTGCAGGTCTACGACGAATTTTCGAAAAATCAGTTCACGCGTCACGGATATAAAAGGGAAAATTTAACCTCTCCTCTTGTGTGCATGGTTTCAGGGAAATCTTAAGTTTTTCACGCGATGAGGAAAAATTCGACATATTTTTCTTCGTTCTGGCGGGCTGTGACTAAAATTAGAACTGGGACGTGGAACTCGGGGACGTGAGACTCGGGGACGTAAGACTCGGGGACGTAAGACTCGGGGACGTGAGACTCGGGGACGTGAGACTCGGGGACGTGAGACTCGGGGACGTGAGACTCGGGACGTGAGACTCGGGGACGTGAGACTCGGGGAAGTGAGACTCGGAGACGTGAGACTCGGAGACGTGGGACTTGGAGACGTGAGACTCGGGGACGTGGGACTCGGGTTAGTGGTAGCCAATGGTTTTCAGCGTCCATAGTTCGGCCGGACATGTTTGCTTGTGTATTTGACCGTGATAACTCTGGGTACAGAATAGTTTCAACGCAAGGGGTCTTGAAACTGTTAAAAACGTCGTGGGCAGCTATGGAGGACTTTCCTTGTAAGTAGGCGTGTTTTCTTCTCGATCTTTATAATAATACTTCAAAAATTCAGCGCAAAAACCAGGCTTGTTCATCACGTCCCCGAGTCTCGTCCCGCGTTCCACGTCTCCAAGTCCCATTTCCTGAGTCCCAGTCCTCACGTCCTCGTCCTACCTTTAGTCACAGCCATCCCGGCGGGCCATAACTACACTGGCGGCACATTGGGCATGCACTCAGTTATGGTTAACTTCACAGGTGTAGCGCGCATAGTCAAAGATATAAAGTCTCCATTCGTGTGCACTACATACCTAATCGGTGAACAAAGGTTTAGTATTTCGATTAGAACTCGTAAGCTGTGCACTGTGCAAATTCACCAATGAGGGACTAAAGTCCCTTCAAGCTACTGTTTTACAAACCGCCAACATCCGCTCATAATATATCAATAATCGTAGAATTGGGCTTTTGCCAGTTTTGTTTGCTAAGCGCTCTTGTCAGACTCTGGGTGGAGTTAACTTGTATCCGTCGAACAAAAATATTTGAACTGATGATGGTGAGTACACCGGAAAACATCTCCCAGTTCTACGAGCCATGTTGATTTTTACGCCGGTGTCTGTAATCACCACCAGAGGAAAGACTTCCCAATGAAGATCAGTGGGTTGACTTCGATGACTCAAACAATTCTTTGAATGCAGGATCTTTCATTTATGGAGAAATAATTCCGGATTAAGAGAGTAAGTTAGAAATGGAAGGTAAAGTAAAAAACACCTGAATACAAAGTATCACATGCAGTCAATTCGGTGTCGATAACTTTTCAAATTTCAAGGTTAATAAGAGGTAAGAAGTGTACAATATATACGCATTTTAAAGCACCTACCTTATTGTTTCCACACGATCTAAACAGTTACTATGACCGATAGCGCGAACTTCAATAGTAACGTAGCGTAACGATAAATGCAATTTAGTGTTATCAATTGCGTTGATTACGTAAATTGGCCACCGTAAAGAGTTTAAAGGCTGACGTTTCGAGAGTTTGCCCTTCCTCAGAGCGATTGGATAAAGATAAATTAGAGCGATTAGATAACGATAAATGGTCAAGGTCGCTTATTCGATATATATTTAACTTCAATTTTAGTGAATTAGTGATATTTTTCATTCAGTTTTCGTATCTGATCATAAAATAAAGTTAAGTGACTTGAACTGTACGTTGTATTGCTTACTTTCTTAACATTTTGATATTCTAAATTTTAACATGTGGCATTGAGCCATGTGCTATTTTAGGTACAAAATTTCTGTTGAAAGTAAATTGACAGAATATTTGTGGCATTTGTTTTGACTGGTTAGAGAAAGACCGTTATATTCCTGTATTCATCACGCCATGAGTGAATTTCTGCAACATGTAGTGAATGAGAGGATGCAGAATTTCTGCAATATTCATTGTTTTAGATATGTGGTGAAATAACGAACTGAAATAACGAACTGAAATAACGACCTGAAATAACGAACTGAAATAACGAACTGAACTATCTTTCTTATTCTGTTTACGCAACCGATTGATCTGCGGCGCAAGTAGGCTTACCGCTGAATCATAAAACAAGAAATGTGCTGCAGAGCCGATCTACTCTTTTAAGAAATCTGGATCAAAGCTGACTTTCGAAAAAACCCAGCCCACAGATGTGACTAAATCTGGATGATGTTTTGTGCCATCTTTAGTTATTATAAGATCTCCTGTTCTTAAGGCTCTCTCTCTCTCACTTTCTTTTTACAGAATCGACAATCAAGGACTGGGAGATCGTGCTAATCGCGGCTGCAACAATTGTCTTTTTTCTATTGGTGGCTATTGGCGTTTTGGCGGTGAGTATTCAGATAATTTCTTTGCATTTTTGCGATGCGTATTTGAATCACAATTGACAATTTGTTACTCACTCGAAATCAAATGATTGAGAGCTTTACTGTCGCGTCATTTATACTGGTGAGGTAAGGGAGCGGCAGAAGGTATTTGAGAGAAAAGTGGTGGGAAAAAATGTGAACTTTCAGTTCGTTTCTTGAGCGCGAAAATTTTTATTATCATCATGATGGGTTGGTTGTAGGAACATGATGGCGCACGGCATGGCTCCGACATATTTCTATTATGCCAACGACTGGAAACTATCAAGAAGGGTCATAGCAACAAAGACACTAAGGCACACAGGCTGTGAAGTTTGCTGCTTAAGAGTTGCTCGAGCGTTCTTTTCATTGACTCTTCTCTATTTGAACAGGTGAAATACAGAAACGCTAAACAGGGTGAAAGGAAGGAATTGTATGCCCTTGATGGAGAATGGGAACTAATGGAAAACGGGCATAATGGCTTGAGGGCTCAGCGGCAGGTTTGTCAACCAGTGTCTTTTGGAGCTTACATTGTTTTCCGGGGGTAACGAAGGGTGTCATCTGTTGCTAATAGAGTTTAAATGGGAGAACATAGAAAATTGACTGCCAATGAGAGGGAGGTGGGGTGGGTCATTAGAATGCTACAGAGCCTCAGGAAAGGGGATTAGGTAGATTTTAATGTTACGCAACCACATCCCTTCTCCCCTTCCCGACGATAAAAAATGGATGGTCTCTAAGACATTTCCATTGAATTTTCCTCGCCTAACTGATCTTGGTATCTTTGTTTTACAGAGCTATGCGTCTCCAATGTATGACAAAGTACCTGGATCTGATAACAAGGCATATCAGTATGACAGTGCATTGTAAATTTAATGAAAAAAAATCATCAACGAGGTCGAAAATCAGCCAGTTTAAAATGCCTCTTAGAACTCTGTGGCCTCATCCTAACAGTTGGTTTGATAACAAAACGACCTTAATTTAGTTATTCAAGCTATCCAAGTTGACGGCAATAAAATTCTGTGTCTCTGAGGTATCACTTAACTTCACGTGCGATAAATTCGGTACATACTATTTCAAAAAAAAAAAAGATGGACATTTGAGGGATTTAAGGATCTAGAAAGTGTAACCGACATTGACCATATGTGCGCAGTTTTTTTCATAAATTATTTTACCTTTGTCCAGTTAACGAACAGATAAATTCAATGCCGTCAATCAACACATTGGAAAGGATATCAGAGCGAGCTCTTATTTTTTCACTCGAAGGGCGGCCGATGTAGTTTCTGAGGCTTGCTTTACTGTGATGACCGGAGATCGACATGATAAGAAAATCTTTAAAACTCGGAATGCCTATTTTGTTTTTCCTTTGAGGATTTTCGTATCTGCCCACGTTTTAATAACGTAAATAACGGCGCCTGGCATGTTTACAAACCTTTCTTTGGTTCTTCTGTTACTACTTGCCAGCTCGCTTGTTCCGAAATTTCACTTTTAATTATCGGAAAAAAGCTAAAAAGAAGTCCCGGAAAAGGTCGAACATGGTACAATTTGGCAGATGGCGTGACAGCTTTAGCTCAGTTGTATGCTCTATACTCTCATAGAGCACGCTCTTTCAACCAATGAGAGCGCGCGTTGTATCCGAACTTTATTATAAACTCTCATAGAGCACACTCTTTCAACCAATGACAGCACGCGTTATATCCGAACTTTATTATAATAACCAGTAGAGTAAATTAATGTAACAGCCTACTTTATGGCCACCCGAATTCGCATATTATGAAACTCCAACGGATATAGAATGCCGCAGCTCGGTTGGTCACAGTAACACCAAGATTCTGTCACGTTACAGCATTGCGTTCTCACCTTCATTGGCTCCCGATTAGTAACCGTATAAAGTTTAGGATTCTACTTTTGACATTGAAGTGTTTATATGGTCTAGCTCCTAATTATTTAATTGAATTAATTAGCATCAAAAAACAATCCATGTACTCTCTTAGGGCAAACGAGTCTTTGTTACTCGAATTATCTAGTACTAAGACCCGTCCAACCCTTGGCGATCGTGCATTCCCGTCAGCTGCACCCTATCTTTGATATGCATTACCTTCGACGATTCAGCCTTCAAATAGCTTCTTATGCTTTTAGTTACATAATTTTACTTTGACAATATTGTGAAGCGCAACTGAATATATCCATATAGAGGTCTGCGCTATATTATTATTAAGGCAAACTTAACCATACAGAGAACTTAGCGAGTAACGATGAGCCGAAGAGCTACAATAATTTTAACTTTTTGAAATTCGTGGTGGTCACCTTTCTGGGTTTCCTCTCAATACCGTAAATAAATTAGGTTCTCTTTTGCAGCAATCACGTCTCTTTCTTTTTGTAAGACTACTGATTTCCTCCCCAGAGGAATAACTCTAACAAGGATTCCTCTGCATGAGCGGAGTTGTCACGCATTTTGTTACACCGTTCGTCATTCGGTGACCGTTGCCCAGAGGTTATACCTGCAGTCGTGGTGCGATTTTGCGGTCTCAACGAAAGGGTGGAAAGGGTTTATACGTGACGCATGATTAAATCCACAATCAACATGTGACGCGTGAATTCTACGGAAAGGCGGGCGTGATTCGCGAATTTATGAACTGGCGTGAGGCGTGATTTAAGTGAAAAGCTCAAGATTTCCCTGAAATCTTGAACACAGAAAAAGATTTAAAGTTTTCCGTTTTATAAAAAGACGAATGAATTTCTCACTAAGTCGTGCGTGGAACGAGAATATGCAGAAGCACCTCACCCCCCTCCCTGAAGCCACTGTTGTAGGTTTATCACCGGTTGTCAACACCGCATGAGTAAAGCCTGACGACCAACCAGGTCTTCAACGGAACTTTGCGTTACCAGCATCTTGGAGAGCTAAATGAAACGAAATTTGATCGATTCCAATGGCTTCGTAAAATCAGCATGGAAGAGTTGGCGCATAACTCATGTTTCTCTGTATATCTCTGTTCCTGATGGAAGGATAGGCGAAGAGCTGTGTGTTTATTTAACCATCTTTACTGCTTAAATATCTGTTAGCTGACTATGCTTAGGTATTGTTTGCAAATTTCGAAATGTTCTGCACTCTCAATATTCTTTGTCACACGGAGTTGTGATGACCTCCGAAGCCAAGCGGCCAGTCTTAATGAATCGGTCATTGGAAAATTCTCGGAGTTCGTTTCCCTTACTTACGCTTTTGATTAAATCTTTGCTCCATTGTCGTATCTGTTTTTGTTATCATCTTAGCCCTTTACACCCTGACATCAGTATGCACATTCTCCACAGTGATCTTTACACATTTCCTAAGGCGCTGACAGGGAGAATTTATTTGCCAATCAAAACGTTCTTTCCCTAGTGACCATTTCCCTTCTTCTCATGACCTCATGACCTTAATGTACGATTCAGGAATGAAATTGTAGGGAAAAATTAGATGCTGGTCACTCAAGTTTGTAAGTGCTAGTCTACACGTTAGCTTTGGTTAGCACGTTAGTGTGGTTCGTAGATTGCACACTTTGCCCATTCTGAGGTTGCCTTGTAGCCTGGTCGGGGCTACAACTTAACTGAGCTGCGAGTTTTCGAAAGTTTGTAAGTGCTATTCTGCACGTTAGCTTTGAAGCTTGGACCCCTCGCATCCATGTAGCAACATGTAACAGGCAGCCAAGTAGCCAAGTGGGAAAGAGGTCTCTTGTATGAGTGGTTTAGTACCTCAGAAGCCTTTCAATCTTTTTCAGTCGTAGTCACACGTAAAGGTGTCACACAGTAACGATTTTACACGGTTAGGCAACCACGTGATCATTTACTGATGGAGCTATGTAGCTATCAGGTAATGTTGTAGCTACTTAATATACAGTTAGCAGCCGGCTCAGAAGGAACTGACATGTAACCACGTACAACTGTAGCCTTGTGGTCACATCAAGTCGCTTAGCCACTGAAATCTAGCAGCAATTTAGTTGCTTCTTTTTTTTTTAGTCCGCACATCAGAGAGTCCCTGGAAGAACAGAGCCATTCTCCTTGCCTCAACAATTAGCTGGGTTTTATCAACATAGTCTTGAGGGTCGTTAGGCCACTTAGGGCACCCATCCAAATAGTCCATGTCATGAGCCACTTTGCCAAGAAGATTGTAGTTTGGTGGTTAATGATTATTGTCATAGAATTTTACTACTTAGGCAGTAGTGAAAATAAGGCCTGAAATGGATTGAAAATGACATAATCACAAAAGACGAATTAGGAACAATTAAAAAAAGAATAGATATATTCATAAATTGGCTTTTTATCATTATTGTTGTAATTTCAAATTACAACAATAATTGATAAAAAGTATTATTATCAATTTTGTTTTTAGGGGGCCACTACGGAGAATACTTTTCAAAGTAATTGGTGTCACCCTCTTAAAGTAAAGCTTATAGCATCTGACGTATTTTTACATTGACCTTTGCTCGTCAATTGCATTCCTTATTCGCATTTTCGCGTGTATAGAGACGGATCTGCAAGGTAAGGTTTTCGTCCTTGAAAATCTCTTGTTATTTTATCATAAAAAGAGAATCCCTTGTTATTTTATCGTAATAAGATACAGGTTATGATATCTAGCTTTCGACTAATGCCACTTGTTTGATCAGTAGTGAGCGAAATCAGATATCAAGATCGGCTAACTCACGTACCAGCTTCTAATGTCTCATAGTAGGCCAACATCGTCACTTTGCTTCAAGTGAATCAGGCGGCTTTTCTAAGCTTTCATACTATCCGTACTCTTATGACGGTGCTATTTTTTAAACTTAAGCTGAATCATCTGTTAGGTTTTACTGCAACGTTAGTGATTTTATGCGACAGAAAACAGATCAAATTCCTTAGAAACTAACCTCTTGAAAACAAACAAACACAAAATTTCGATGGGGAAGTCATTGAGAATTTACCAATAGGAGTTCGCATCTTAACAATTATTGTTTGACCAGCGCGGAAATTTTTTCAAGAAAGAATTTAAAAAATGTGTGACGAATTCGTGGGTTTCTTACGTTAGGTTTATTGTCAAACGTGAGGCATCTTTTCTGGGTAAATAAACATAAAGGAAATTCCGCAGACAGCAAGATAGATAAAAAAAAATTGGAACGAGCGTTGAAAACTTAAATTTAAAGATAAGCCCCCAGGGAACATGATCAACGACAAAGTTTGGGTCATATCTTGCTCTTCGCATTCCGAAGAGGAATTAATATTTTCCTGGCAAATTGTCTCAGCTTGTACATATAACTTTGCGAAGCTAACCGCAGAGCAAACGTGCAGTGCATTGATAAACCTCTACTTCAGTTTCAAATGTTGTTCAGCTCGTTGATAGGAACTAAGTTTGAGATCAGTACTTGTTCCGAACAAATAAACGTAATCTTTCAGCATCAAGACATTTTGTCCATTTTTATACATTCTGGCTACTTGTTTTTTTTTTCGTTTTTTCCCCCATCGTTATAAAGATAAAGGATGCTTTCCACAAACGTCACGATATTCTTAAACAGCCTCTTGCTAATTTGCATTTTGCGCTCATCAAAGAGACATGTATAATCCAAAAATAGCTCTAGTACTATTATACAACTTGACAGTTATAATGCACAAACACACCAACTTTTCAATTGAAATATAAAGGAACAATAGAACTCAGACAAACCGGTAACTTTTTGCATAATAACTATTCCGTATTGGTAGCCATACTCATAACAGTTTAGTCTACTTTACTTTCTCATTGAGCATATTGGATCACCTTTCCAAAATGAGTTTATTTATCAATGGCCTAAACCAAAACATTTCACCTTCGCTCCAGATTTACTCGCTCAGCGAAACAGTGTCGTTCTTTTAGCTTTAATATCTTCATCACGATCTTATGGGCCGTCGGAATTGAGGCTCGCAACCAGGGAGGAGACAGTCTCCAACCTTTCCTGTATGTATAGGTAACATACAAAAACATGAAATGACTCGGAAAATTACTTAGTGAAAATCGTGAATATCACTCATTCCTCTTAACCGATTAATGTCGCTGGATACTGTTAACGTGGAAGGTTCATTAGTAGAGAGGCTTTTTTGCATCATGATCATAAACTGAAGTATTTATAAAAAAATTATTGGATGAGGATTTTGTAATAACCAGAATAATCAAGGTCGAGGCAAGGTAAATTTAGTTAGAATCTCTATAATTCCTTTGTAAGATTGGGAGTAGAACAAACAACGCTCATCAAATAATAAAATGAAAATTTAAGAAATCACTCTTTATGCCTCTCCAACTTATTAAGACCGTAATCTTAGTATAATCTTGGAGTGAAATTTGCTTGCTGATAGTATGTTCTCCAACAATTTATATTTTTACCTCTTTTATTTGACTACTTGATTTATCTCTTTATCTATTCTGTATAAATTTATATTCATCGACTCATTTTTTGTCGCAACCATGTCGATCCTAGGTCTCATAAAATATTATTTGTATGTATGAAATGTCTGAATACTATGTAGTCGCTCCGTTCACTTTGAGAAGCTCTATCGTATTTATATTTTTTTGATGGAATATTGCAAAAAAGCTTTTTTTCCGTGTTGTTATCTGTTATATTGCATTTTGTCCATTACTACTCTTTAAATTTGCTTTTCATGTGCTGCACCGGGATAAATTTAGACTTCCGGCGGGTCCATGATATATATCGATCTTTTATCAATATATACGTCAGATCTTTTAACAATTATTGTTTACATAAATTATACACATGCATATAGATAAGTTGCCTGACCGAAAACACAAAACCACAAGGTCCAGTGTTGTTTTTTTTTGCAATCAGGATTTCGGAATTTATTTCGTCTCCTAAATAGAGTTTTATTCAATATTGAAAATGTACTTCCGTTATATTTTTTTACACGAGCTACACGAGCATTGGAAACCGAAGAGGTCATGGCTAATGTCGAAAAATATCTCGCAAAATAAAAACTGTTTTGTCTTCTAACATGATTTGTATTCATCTATTCATTTTCTATTTATTTCTTTGCCAAAGTACGATAAAAATTTACAAGGAAGCATAATGAGCTAGGTTAAATAAAATTTATGGAGAGGAAACCTAAATGAAACCATGAGACTTTCTAAACGATTACAGAAGAATAGGAATAAAAGGCATTATAAACGATATTAGATTTTACAGAAATATTGAGGTCACGCAAGAGAAAGCAATCGGACATTATTCTCCCTAGAGTCATGTTATATTGTTAACTTTTTAACGGCTCTTTTTCCTCCCTTTGCACACAAGCTTTTAGCCAGCCACGAATTGATATCACAGAGTTCATTATAAGAGGAAATTCAGCCAATCATCTTCGAAAGCATTTGGCACTCTTTCCACCGCAACATGACAAAGATGGCTCAGCGTCTTAAGAAGAAAGTTGTTGCTCTTGTTGCATGCATCCTGTTAACACTACCAGGTAGTAAGTCGATACAGACTTAAATGTAATTCTTTGCTGGAAGGTAGGCGCAACTAAAGATATGTCAGATATAAAAATTTTTCATGCGGTTAAAATGTCGAATCTGTATCAGCAGGGTTTGCAAATACATCATCACAATCTGCAAGCGACATGTTATCAATGAATCCTATGACGCCATCCCTATTTGCAAGTCACATGTCATCAATGAATCCTAAGACGCCATCACCATCTGCAAGTGACATGTCATCTATGAATCCTATGACGCCATCCCCATCTGCAAGTCACCTGTCATCAATGAATCCTAAGACGCCATCACCATCTGCAAGTGACATGTCATCTATGAATCCTATGAAGCCATCCCCATCTGCAAGTGGCATGTCATCAATGACACATATGATGCCATCACAATCTGCAAGTGATATGTCATCAATGATGCATATGATGCCATCCCCAATTGCAAGTGACGTGTTATCAACGATACAAATGATGCCATCACATAATGCAAGTGACATGACATCAGTGGTGCATACGATGCCATCCCTATCGGTAAGTGACATTTCATCAATGATGCATATGATGCCATCCCCATCTGCAAGTGACATGTCATCAATGGTGCAAACGATGCCATCCTCGTCTGCAAGTGACACGTCATCAATGATGCGTGTGATGCCATCACCAACTGCAAGTGACATTTCATCAATGATGCATATGTTGCCATCCCCATCTGCAAGTGACATGTCGTCAATGGTGCATATGATGCCATCCCCATCTGCAAGTGACATGTCATCAATGAATCCTATGACGCCATCCCCATCTGCTAGCGAAATTGCCCCAACGGTGACTAGCATTATTCCAACGGTAGCACCTACGTGTCCTTCAGGATTTACTGGAAGTGATTGCTCCATAGGTAACTGATGAATGCATTTAGATTTTGTTTTTCATACGATACCAGCACCTGTAAACAATGCTAAATGTTGCTGTTGTTTTTCTTTTTGCTGTCATAGATATTAACGACTGTGAAAACAAAACCTGTTCAGGAAATGGAAAGTGCCTTGAGAGAATAAATGGTTTTATATGTGAATGTAACGATAGTTACTTTGGAGAAAACTGTGAGGAAAGTAAGTCTCGTTAGATGTTCATAACGAAACTTTTAACTTACGAACCATTTCTACTTTTGCGGAAAAGCAAGGAAAAATCTGATTGAATTTGAGTGAGGGCAATTTAAGGCAAATAAATTTTCTCTGTATGTGTCACTTTTATAAAAATTTTTTTCTATTTAGCTCACATTTCTTTCATTTTGAGGTGTTAACTTAGTGTAGCAGCATTGAAGGATATCATCGATGATTTTAGACTTGAAGGTTTTGGTCAATAAGCGACATCACGTTTATCTATTTGAAAATTTAGGGCACTAATTTGATTTGACTTGAAACGAGAAAATGTATTTGGTTATACTGATGAAAATAACATATGTCTAACACATATACGTAAACATTCCATCTTAATCCCGTCTGAATTATTCGCGTCTTTACCCTTAGAATTCAGCGCCTGTAATCCAAACCCATGCGAAAACGATGGAACTTGCACAGAAGATGTTGAACCGTTCAAATGCACATGTACTTCAGCGTTTAAAGGGACAACCTGCCGATCAGGTATGGGCCTGTCTGACATTTCCCGTTCCAGTAATGTATCGTTCCAGCGAAGTACTGCTAAGTAGGGAATGATACATGTGTGCGCCTAGTAGTTAGAAAAAGCAGGTTCTGACGTTTTCTTTAAGTTAACCTTGATTTTAAAGGCAAATCACGAATTTAACCTTGAAATTAATGTTGATTAAACAAAAAGTTGTTGTACATTTTGAAATCAACCTTAATTTCAAAGGTTACTTGAATTTTTTCACAGGTGAGTTTTGAAGAGGGTGTGAATATTATCATCTTGAATGATTCTTTTGTCACGCCATCAGCGTCGCTGAAAAGGCGTTGATTGTTGATGTTAGGATTTTCAAGTATCAATGTTGTATCTTCTCGC